AACCAAACGCGACCCCGACAATTTCTTGCAAGCCGGGTAATTCACAATAAAGTTATATGATCATGTATACCCAATATAACTATCACTAATGCCTTGGTGATTCATTGATATAATTAGATCCTGTTTGTGTGTTCTCATGCTATAGCAACTTAACCTGTTTGTTATGTTCTGTTCTGGTATTGTTTGATTCTCTTCACTGTTTGTTCTATTATGGTATTGTTTAATTCTCTTCATTATTTGTTCTGTTATGGTACTGTTTCTTTGTGTACTTTATTGTACTAGAAGTAATGAATAGTATTCTCCTAAACTATACCTATAATAGTTTACTAATGTTCTACCTGGACTGTTACTGAAAAGACTCATTTATCCACTAAGTTATGCTTATACTTTAAAAACAGAGTTTTGTATAACTATAAAGTAACATAACTTTAAAAGAGTTTTGAAATGTTTTGACAACTTATAAATAACATAAGTAACATTTTGAAAGATGTTTAACAACAAACATTTACAGAATTATCATTTTGTTCAACTTGTATTCCCCCGTTAAAACAGTTAAAATAGTTAAAAGATTCATTATGGTGTATGAACTCACCTGATGTGGGTGATTCAAACGGGTATGCGCGTACGGATGAGAAGTTCCACGAATGAAGTCCTGAGACACAATAAGTCCTAAATGATATATAATGACACATATCGGCATGAATATAGTGTTTATAACAACTATATGAAAGGAAACACCTTCCGGGACTAGGAAAGACCATGACCAAGTGTTAGAATTACATGTGATTCAACAAAGGAAGGTAAAATGACACTCACATGAGTTTCCTACCTTGGTTTTACGGCCCAAGGGAGTTTACGGCCGTAAACTCATGGTTACTCGTGTGTAAGTGCAAGTTTGAAGGCTAGGCGATGATTTAGGGACCTTAGCTCTACCCTAGGATGAGGAAGACCACTTTCTTTAGAGTTTTTGAGGTGTTCAAGGCCCTAATGAGTTTACAACCTTAAACTCATGGCCACTTATATTTATGAGGGTTGTTTAGGGTCCTAAAGGTCATAATGAAGCATCCTAAATTCAATTCTAAGCCTTAGGAAGTGTTTGTGGCATCAAAACAACCCTAACTTGAGTTTTCGGCCCTTGGACCATTTTGGCTTGTGTTTGTGGCCGTAATCACCTATGGGTGATGGTATTTTGATTGTTTTGAGTCCTAAACACATCAAGGTAAAGTGCTAGGTTAGTCTCTTGGCTTAAGGAAGGAATTTGGGGCATCCTGGCACCATAAAAAGGAGTTCACGGCCCAAGATCATCCTTGGCCGTGAACTCTCTTCCAACCTTTGATTCTTAATGTTTTTAAGTGTCTAAACATGAATCCTAATTGAATATGTAGTATAGTGCACTTATGATCTAGAGGCTTGAAATGGTTGATATTGGCCAAGAACACTAGTGTGTGTTCTTGGTGTTTCTTGAGTATCTAAACAAACATGATTTTCATGGATGAAATCAATGTAAGAAGCTAGTTAATAAGATGTATTAAATAATCAAGGGATAGAATACTCACTAGTTTTGAAGATCTAAGGTGATTGTTGTGATGATAGTTGAGAGAGAACCAAGGAGAATTGGTTAGGGAATGAGAGAAATGACTCTAAATGACCATTTGCCTTACATATGCTCTTGAGTTTATGGCCCCATGAGTTTACGGCCATAAACTCATGGTCTTGTGGCCGTGAACTCACTTAGATGAGGTTAGGGTTCGTTTTGCTACATTGTGGTTCTAGCATGTACTTTCTAACACTTATTCCTTAAGTGTATTAGGCTCAAAACTCCTTAGAATGACGTGTAACAAGGCTAGAACTTTGTACTAATGATTTTGACACTCAGTTGAGTTGACTGACTGAGCTTATAAAATAAAATTTTACGGGTTGTCACACAATTGAGGTGGAAAGAAAATCGTGGCAGGTTAATTTATATATCATCTCTTTGTAATTTATTTTGTTGTTCAATTGAGATAAATGTATTTGTATCTCTTTGAATTTTATTAGTATTTGGTTTTTGTTTTTTAAGAATAACATTAATACTTTTTGAAAGTTGTATGAATGATCGATGTAAATCGTAATAACATTTGTATATATGCAAATTAATATATAGTCATTAATGCTTTTTTCATTATGGTCTTCATTTGATATCTTCAGTTTATTATTTGATTTGTAGTTAGTGGGTTAACTCATTAAAATTAGGTTTAATCGTGTTTTTCGAATCTCGTTGTGTAGTTTTAAATTTTCATTTAATTTAATCCACCAATTATTTAACTTATAGTAAAGTTATATATTCTAATTGTGTGATCTCAATCATAATAATATTTTCTTGATGCTTGCATTTTGATGTGGAAAAAAACACGAATAGTGAATTAATGTTTTTGTTAGATTTTAGTGTCTTTATTTCTTTTTTACATTTTAGGTTTTGAAGAGACTACGATTGATGCGATGAAGAAAAAAACATAGAGAACGAGAGTCTATTCTAACAGAAATTACTCTATAAGAATGTATAAAATGATTCTTAACAATAATATTTTTCAGAATGGATTCATGTTTCTGTTAAATTTTAAAGTTTTTTTTCTTCTTTTTTAACCATTCTTAGTTTTTGTATTTAAGAATAAACTTATTCTTAACCATTATTAGTCTTATATTTTTTTTTAGAATGGATGTAATTATTATTTATAGTCTTATAGTCATATTCTTTAAGAATTAATGTAATTAATGATTCTTAAAGAATAAATTCCGTTTCATATAAAATCAATATTATTTATAAAATGTCATTGTTGATAATATATGTTATAAAATTCTTTAATCAGGTTAATTATAAAAAAATATATATATCATAAATGAAGCCATATTCTGTAAGGATACAATCGGAAATATCTTTACAGGTGTACGACCAGCATTTTGTTATTTCTGAAAGAATAAAATCGATTATTATAACAAACCACATTAGAATTAAAAATGGATTAATTTAAAAATCAAGATTTTTAAAATTAAGAGAATTAATTATCCCTTAATATATGAAAATTCTTTTTTCAAACACAGTTTAATTGATAAAAATACCCTTATACTGAAATTTAAGTGATTATATAGTACATGTTATCACATTGTAATATCCTATACTCTTAAATCACGAATGTTCATTTTATTATTCTATTGGTCTAGAATTGTCTTTACGACCACACAATAGATGTCATCCGCATTATAAACTAGCCTTATGTATGTATGTATATATATATATATATATATATATATATATATATATATATATATATATATATATATATATATATATATATATATATCTTGGTAGTTATAGCAGTCCAAAATCAAATATCGGTCAAGGGCCGATATTTGAGATATAGGTTATCGCGGTGAGATATCAGTTGGATATCAGTACTTTTATATCATGCATATATATATATATATATATATATATATATATATATATATATATATATATATATGTGTGTGTGTGTGTGTGTGTGTGTGTGTGCGTATATATATATATATATATATATATATATATATATATATATATATATATATATATATAAACATAAGACATATATGATAGTAATATCAAAAGTCAAAACTCATAAGTGTCAATGCTTCAAGCATAATGATACGTAAGCCATGGAATCTTCCTCTAAAAAAATCAACCAAAGCTTCCAATTATTGTATAAAGATTTTTCACATCAACTCTAATATCATCATCTTCATAATCATCATCATCATCACCAACTAAAAATGAAGTACTTAACATAACAAGATGATCGAACCTATAGAAATTAGCAAGTTAACACTTCAATATTTAATAATTAACAGAACAATAGGATCAGTTAAGACTTAAAACGATGAGTCTATAACTTAAAACTAACAATTAAGTACTTTACATAACAATAGGTTCAGATAAGTTAACACTAATAGAAGTAAGTAAAATTTCTTAATTGATATCCCCCCTGGAAATATCGGTTAAATATCAGTAAGTATCACCGATTTTTACGGTTCCGATATTTGACACCGATATGTTGAAAGGTACCGATAACCGATATCCGACATGGAAATCACCTGGAAATCGTCGATATTAACTGCATATATATATATATATATATATATATATATATATATATATATATATATATATATATCGGTTAAATATCAGTAAATATCACCGATTTTTACGGTTCCGATATTTGACACCAATATGTTGAAAAGTACCGATAATCGATATCCCACCTGGAAATCATCGATATTAACTGCATAGACATATATATATATATATATATATATATATATATATATATATATATATATATATATATATATATATATATATATATGACTAGGTTATTTTGTTTCTTACATTTAATATATGTCTGTAAGCATAATTATGGACCAATGGATTGATAAAATCAATGGTTATGATCCGAGGGTCTACGATATTATAATTGTGTAACATCTACCATATAATCATACAAATTTCAGTATAAGGGTGTTTTGATCAATTAACCTACATTAAAAAAGGAAATTTTCGAATTTTAAGGGATAATTAATTTACTTTTTTTTTTAAATCTGAATTTTTTAAATTAATTCAAATTTAATACTATTATAATTTTTAATACTAACCGATTTTATTTTGTCAGAATGATACAGAGTCAAACATAAACTAGTAAATATATTTTTGAATTTATTATAGCAGAATATGGTTCATTCGATATATATTTTTTATAATTAACATGCTTAAAGAATTATACAACATATTATCAAAAATAACATTTTCTAAAGAATATGAAATTTATTTTTTAAGAATCACTAATTACATTAATTCTTAAAGAATAAGACTAAACAATTACTACACTCATTCTAAAAAAAATTATTAACAATGGTTTAAGAGTTACATTTATTCTTAAAGATTCAAACTAAGAATTGTTAAAAAAATAAAAATAAAAACATCAAAATCTAACAAAAATATTAATCCATTCTGAAAAGATATTATTGTTAAGAAACACTATATACATTATGGCAGAATACATTATGCCAGAATACTCTCCTTCTCCATGTTTTTTTCTTTTTTCACATCAATGAGAACCTCTTCGAAATCTATATCCACAAAGAAAACATAATCAGCTTTAAAATATTAAAACTTTTAGTATATTCTAAAAGAATAAAACTATAAATTCTAATTGAATGTATTCGACATTAAAGACTTTTAATTTATTCTAACAGAATGTAATACTCGAGTCACTTGATCAAGTATTCCCCAAGTCACTTGATCCAAATAATCGACTCAATCTAATTACAGTGATTCTAAAGCCTATTGTAGCTAACACAGAGGACAATACGTTGGAAAAATATCATATTATTACAAGCAAGAATGTGGGAATATGACAGTTCAAAGATCACAAAATTTTTCTGAACAAAATAAAAGTGCTAAACATATAGTTGTAACATCCAATGTTCGAAGGATTGTAACTCAGTCAATATTAATCCAAATAAAATGACTTCAGAACCTAACTAGTAGCTAACTCAAAGGAGAACATGCAGAAAAAAAAATCAAATCATTCCAAGCTAGTATAAGAGAGATATGATAGTTCAAGATTACAAAAAAAAAATTGGCTGAAATATTTGATTCAAGCATTTTAGCAAACAATTGGCAGAAAAAATCGAATGATCAGATCTTTATACTCCATTTGATGAAACATACAACATATGTAATTAATAATTACATGAATGTGACTAAATTTACAATAAAAGAATGTATACCTTCAAATACTAACGAGTAACTTGAGATTTCATACCATAAAATCAAGATTCCATTATGATAGAATTAGAATTTGATCTTCCATTCCAATAGAATCGTTCTCAGATACACCCAAAATAAAAAATAAAAATTTGTGGTAATTATCCAATCAAGACCACTGCTTTGTACATAAAAAGTTAGACAATTGCAAAATTTAATATAATTTTGTAAAAATGTTTTGGTTAATCTTGATACTAACAAATGAAAAATAAATTTGTTTATATTTTTTTTCTGTGTCACATATACAAAAACCAAAAACAAAAACACATATAAAATGTTTTGCTTCTCTTCGGTAGGAACATGAAAGCCACATCAAAACACAAAAATATGTTGTTCAACCCATTGGTGTAAAAACCAAATCAACAAATTGAAATATATATATATATATATATATATATATATATATATATATATATATATATATATATATATATATGCATCAAACAACATATTCAAAGTCGATTTTTTTTTTTTTTTTTAGATTTATGTGTAGGATCAAAAATCAAATCAAAGAAATTAAAAGAAAACCCAAATCAATAAAAGTTGAGATGAAAATTTTGATTTAACTTACCTTTATACTACGAGATGCAATTCTTGATTTAACTCCATCTTCGCATTCTGTTGTGGTAATAACACTGCCTCTCATGAATAAAGTTCTCACCTTGCAAGGAAATCGTAGATCCAAATAGAGAATCGGTGTTCTAAGAGTTAAGAGGGAGGCCATGGTCAGAGGAGTTGAAGGGGACTTCAAAGAGGCAAACGCCAGAGGTGGGAAAAGAGACAATACGATGGATTTTGATAAAGGTGTCTGTTGGTGATTTAATGGGGTTTATAAATTGATTTTCCTTTTCCAGATTTAAAGGTTATTAAAGATTCCAATTAATCATTACAATAGTTAATAGAAACATATATATATATATATATATATATATATATATATATATATATATATATATATATAGGGTAAAGTGAATATACCTAACAACCTTATATAAGCTTAGGTACCTAACTCCATAATATTACATCGGTTTGTATCATATTTACATTGTAATTGCCTAAGGTTCTTAAACTTCAACCCCATAACTTGATTATTTCCAAAATCTTTGTACTTTCACCAATATCTTTCTTTTACATCACGTCTTTCTATCGAATACCACCTTATGGGCTTCATATTCTACCGCTACAAACGAAATGATGTAGGAGAAATATAATCATGAATTTTCAATTTTTTTTTTGAAGTAAATCAAGTTTAGGGATGATGTTTAAGAACCTTGGATGATTGCAATGAAAATTTAATGCAAAATGACGTAGTTTGATAAGGTTAGGTATCTAAGCTTATATAAGGTTGTTAGGTATATTCACTTCACCCATATATATATATATATATATATATATATATATATATATATATATATATATATATATATATATATATATATCAAATACGATAATGTAACTCGTGTATGATACTAGCAAATGATGATTTTATTTAGTTTTATATTGAAAAGTGCTTCCAACCATAAGTTTTTAGGGTTTAAGTTTCGTTCGAAAGAGAATATATGGAGTGTGTATGTTTGTTCTAAAAATATTTTATTTTATTCCATTTAGGTAATAAAATATAAATTAACTTGCAGACAAACAAATATTCTTCGTGCACACTTCTATCCACATATTTTTCTACAGACATGAAAAAATGTGAAAACAGACCATAAATATTTTTCTTCTCTATAAAAACAAACACCTCCAAAATCTTTTTAATGTTGCATTTACAATCAAATAATATAAGCTAGGAATATTTTTCTAAGTCACAAATGGTGTATTTGTTAAAAGGGTGCTTTCAATTTTCCATCGAACATAACTCATGGTGTAAAAAGAAACCTCATCTTCATGAAAATTTTGACCACATGTAAACCAAAAAAACACAAAATAGTGCAAAGAGAACAACATGAAGAACATGGTTTGCTCCTGATTGAATGATACTCTTGTTTAATTTCCTCATGTTGTTCTTCACCTCTGCTTGAGCTTTTATTAATGTCATTTGCTGTTAATTAGAATTAAAAAAAATATATATATTAAAAATGCAAGCCTTTTAAAGATTGAGATTGTAAAATGTGTCATAAACTCATAATTCAGCCATAGGAAGAAAAAAAAAAAAAAAAAGAAGAAATAAGAAACTACAAGAAGGATCAGATTAATTCCATACCAGTTGATTGATAAACTCATTTTGATTCTTGGCTTCTAACTCAATCTCTGTGGCTACCTGTTAAAACATAAAGTCATGAATCACTTCAAATTATTTAAGAATAAACCATGATTATGTAGTTTATATAAATATTGTAACATAAGAACACAAGAAAACTATTAAAGAAAAAAAGCTACTTACATTCTTTAACTGTCTAACTTGTTTGTAGAGGCCACCAATGTGATCATCCAGGTCAGCATGAACTGGATCAATGCGAAGCTGGATTTCATCAGAATTAGTAACAGGTCTAGTGCTAAGCCCTTCTCTGTCAAAAATTATGAACAACAAATATTTTAAAAAAAAAGGGATAAACTTTACTTTTTCTATTAACTTGTTGAGAAAATATAGAACTCGAGAGAATCACAATTCAGAAATACCTTGATCTATATGAAGCAGCACCATAGTAATTGCTACCTTTGTGAGAACTAGATGCCATTGAACTGAAGGAACAAAGAATGAAACTGAACGGAATCAGTGTGTAATGTAAGGAAATTAAATTTTCAAGGATCCAGATTAAGATGAAGCTTGAAAAAGGACATTATCGTATGATTGTCGGTTCCCAATTATAACTGAAAGTACTCAATCGGACAAGAACAAGATAAACGCACAAACACTATAACAAATCAAGCTCACAAACTTCAAAAGCTGTAAAAGCCAAATTTCTATCGATGTATTTAGTAATACAAGTTCTACGCATCCGATAGGTAATTTACATTATAGAGGATGATAATCAAGCCATCACTTAAGAAATCCATACGAAATATTGGAGAAAATTGCGTAAAAATGTTTAGGGTTTAATAAATCGGTAAAAGTGATTCGATTAAACGCTTAATAGAAGATCAGAGAGCACTTACCGGTGGAACTCGTTCAAAGCGGACTAACTGGAGCGATTGGAGAAGAAGTTAGATGAAATGCAGAAATCCGACCACCGCTTCTGGATAAATGAATTAATATTTAAAGCAAAATTATTTATTTATAAGTTATGACTTCGAGCCGAAGATTGTTTCTTCATTATCATTTTATTAAGACAAAACTACGGCATTGGTCTCTGTCGTTTTTCAAAATAGGCGTTGATTAAAGACAGTTATTAGAAGCGTTACATGTTCGGTTTTTATGGTTTATTTTCTTTCCCTGATCCTGTTGCCATAAAAAGATAATTTTTTTTTTTTTTTTTTTTTGTTATGTTTGACAAAACTGTAAAAAAAATCACTGTGGTATGTACATTTTTGGATGTTGATCCTGAATTTTAAAATTTAAATAAATGGTCTTTTTGAATTAGTTTGGTTATATATTAGCTTCTTCTAAAATTAAAATGAGTGTAATACATTTAATATATTTATTTTTTATTTTTCTTTTATTTTTTTAATTTAATACTTATATTTTTTTTTAATAATTAAAAAATAAAATAGTGTCTCTCTCACACACACACATACATACACACATCTCATACTATCTTCTTCCTCAAGAAAACTCGTATAATTTCACACATACATACACATTCTAATTAAACACACATTTACACACAGATTCTAATTAAACACACATTTACACACACTAAATGTTATGCTTGGATTTGGACTTGAGAAACAATTTTGTGTTCTTGGTTCTTGTGCTCTTCAATCTTCAACCTATATTTCAAGAATAAACCTAGATTTGATCCTCATCATCTTCCTTATCAAAATTCAGGTCTGATCTTCATCTTGTTCATCAAAACCTAAGTCACTAAACATAAATCCCTACAATAGCTCACTAACTACCATTGTTCCTATTGTAGAACCTCGTCAGTTCTCCGATCTCATCTCCTCCAGCTCCAGTTTTTTATCCAAAGATGGTGGCAAGAACGAGTTTTTTTTTTTTATTAAAAAAGATGGAAGGTTAGTGGCTGGAGGAAGAAGGAGTGATATCTAATTCATACACATCTACATTCCTGAAACAATTTAATATTCATACACACATATACCTTCTTGAAACAGTTTTAGATTCACACATACACACACATATCTATTCTTCCATCTTTTCCCCATCCTCATGCTCGCTGCCTTCAACTCTGATGAATCAACACCATCGTCATTTTCCTTATTCATCATCAAACCTACAAATGCTAACAACATCACTATAGTGAACCACCGTTCTCTCTATCGTTTTTTCATCTATCACCAACATTACCTTTGTATCCCTATATTTGCTCATTCTCATCATCAAGAACAATCGAAATCCCCCCACCATCTTCACGCTTTATCGTCGTCGCCGTCATATACTATCACACCCCTAGTTGGTGGCGAAAACACCGGGTAGTAAGACGACATCATGGATCACAGTAATAAGCATACATTGAACATACAACAATACAATAGTAGAATAAGTACTTTTATTCATTGAAAGAAGTAGATTATAATATACTCTATTCCAGGGTACAAGAAAGTACAAAACAAGCCTTAACATATAGGCAACGAGGAAATACTAATATATAAAAAGACGACTACAATCTCATGATCATCCTTCTAGTATGTCTTCCAATAACCTAACTTCCTGAGAGTACATGCGTTTTGGAAGAGTGTCAACTTAAAAGTTGGTGAGTTCATAGGTTTATAATAGTTGAATCAAAACATACTTTCTCCCTAAAGTATAGCTATATTAAAGTTGGTGTATACTTTTCGAGACCGAAAAGCATTATTTAGATATATAGATACATTACTATCCTATATATAAATGCATATTTATTATCCTGACTTCTATAAGTAAGTTCTTGAAAAAAAGATATTCCTTATAGGCATTTCCAGTTTCCTATATTCTTTTATATGTTATAGGTATTTCAAGCTTCCTATACATATTCCATTCATTGTGAGTGTTATAACTAAGCTATTTCAGACCGATATGCCTCTCCCCAATGCTTCATAAGGGCGTCAATGTAGTAGAAAAGAAAATTATCACCCAGTGTTTTAATCCTATAAAAATAAGTAGTTATTGCATGTACCCCTGGTAAGAGAAACTGAAGAGAAAATGATTTTTTGAAAGTTGGTTGTTTCATACTCCGATGAATAGCAAGTTTGACTAGTGAATAGTGTTGTTGATCGGTGTGAATAGTACCTAGTCAGAGCTTTGATCGGAAAACCACACAAATATGTTCGAAAACTACTCCGATGATGGCAGGCGGTGGCGAAAGTCGACGATCTTGGCTTCGTCAGAGCTGCTGATCGGAAGATGGAGACTAATCGAAGTTGTGCGGATGATTACTCGATGGAAACAACAATGTCAACCGGATGTTCTGACCATTCTCGGATCTCCAGCGAGGCAGAGGTGGGCTGCTAGTGGTGGCTCATAGTGGCGATGGTAACCGAGAGAGAGAGAGAGAGAGAGTGTGTGTGTGTGTGTGAGAGAGAGTTTGGCATATGGAGAGAAATGTGTGAAAATGAGGGAACCTCTCCCCTTTATTTATTGTAAGTTCCATTATGATCCAAGGTTCTGTATCGAATCCGATCTGACAGTCCTAATCAATCCTAACTTTTCAAGCTTATCCTAGATAGGTGATGGGCCTTCGGGAATATTCAAGATGCGGCATTTTCGTTAACTAAATCAAATACTATACATTTTTATAAGAAAGATGGTTCGATTTATTGTCATGAAGAGATAGTGTAGCTATCCTTACTAAGCGTTTGTAAGCTTTTTTCAGGCGCTTTCCGTTTATAGTTATGAACTTTCACTTCGTAAAAGAGTCGAGACGACGTGAGGTGGAAAAGTTAGCTTTTGAATCAAATACTACATCAAAACCTGATTCTAAATATATAACTTTTCTATAAAAACTCAAAAAGGATTCGACATGTTGTATGAAGATTACTTAAGGAAGAAGGTAAACCTTAGTCGTCCAACCCTATCCTCAATAGTTCGAAGTATTTTCGAATGTAAAAAGTTAGGAACATGATAATTTCCTAAACTAAATGAGACTCATGGGAAATTAACTGGGAATAAAAAAACATTTCCTAAGACGTCTCGTTTTTCATTTGAAGTTAGGTTTTGACACCTATCAGGTGGTAAGATATAACCCGGTTGTTCATGTTCTTAAAACAGTCATATCATTTACATAAGAACTTCGTTTTCGATGTTTTTTATGTCCAAAATTTCCAATTTTCTTGAACTATTGACGATTCTATTGATTCCCCATAATAATGTGTAATACATGTTAGGTCTATTACAACAAAACCATGACTTATTTCATATTAGGTCTACTACAACAGAGATTACATTAACATTGTTCATTTAATGATGACCTAATTTCTACAGTTGTCACATTCTCCCCTTGTTAAGAGAATTTCATCAGAAATTTTAACTTTTACTGCTCTCCATCGCAGCCTTAATAAAAAGTTTAGAGTACTTGATTCTTCATCTGATCTTCCTTTTCCCATGAGAACTCCGGTCCTCGCCTCAAGTTTCATCGTACCATTACTAAAGGGATACGACTTTGTTTTACTCTCTTGAGTTCTCGATCCATGATTTCAATAAGTTCCTCCACAAAATGGACCTTAGAATCAACTTAGATTTCGTCGAGAGGAATGATAAGTGTTTCATATGTAACACTTGGATCCAAGTATTTTCCTTTTTAGTCCTTGAAACAAAATTTATTTTTTGGAAAAGGTCCCTTTCTATGTTGGGCGTACGTTTTGGTACGCTTAGCGTACATGCACACCTTGGAGCGGGAATCTTGGCCACGTACATTGGGCATACACAACCAGTCTTTAAACCCTAATTTTAGGGCATGACGCCTATTTAAGAATCCTTATGAGCTTTGGACCCTCACCTTTATCAGCATCCACGGCTATTTTCGTCCTTAAAACCCTAGTTTTCCATTATAAGTGATTTTGAGCTTGGAAGTAACTTTACTAGCCTTTTTAGTGTTCTTGTAAGAAGAAGAACTTGGTGATCAAGATTTGGACGAGGTTGAGCTTCAAGATCCTGAGTCTATATCACCTTAAGAAGCTTTTGAAGACAAAAAGCTCTTACCTTGGTGATTTCTTTTGGTTATTAAAGTTAGGGCTTATTATGAGCTAATTTTTGGTCCCATGAGCTCTCTTGTGAGTTTGGAAAACTCCAAGAGTTTGAGGAGCAAATCTTTATCCCTTATAGGTGTTAGATGCATAAAAATGTCTTCTTGATGATAGAAATGAGCCCATGCATGAAATAAGATCCTTAATGAGAGATTTGATGGGTAAAGTTAGATGTTGGGCCCCATTAAGAGATGCTAAGGCATAAAGCTTCCAACTTTATGTCTTAAAATCCCATTTTATTCGACACTTGGAAGTTGGAGTGAGGGGCCATAAGAAATAATCACTTAATGGCTTAAGGAGATAAACAATGTAGTACGTTGGGCGTATCAACGTGTATGCAACGCGTACTGGCTTGCGGACTCGTAAGTCGAGCATACACAACGTACACCGAGCGTACACCCTTTAGTGGGATTTTGGAGCTTGGTTGGCCTTGGACTTTTGGGTTTTAGCTAGTTATTGGGATTTAGCCTATTCAAGGTATATGGGCTTTAGATTTTTGGTTTGTGGGCCTTTAGTGACTCAAGTTGGGACCTTTGGGCCTTGGGGCCCAATAGTGGGGGTTAAGGGTCAAGGTTGGCTAGTCCCATTATAGGTGAGGAGAATGGGCTCTACCCTTAGGAGTTTAGATGTAATCTAGGCCCATGGTTATGTCTTTTTACCATTTCCTAATTAGGGTAATTTGTATATGTTCAGTGTGGGATATTTCGGATCAGTAGCCGAGTAGTTAGTATTTTTCAGCAGATTGAGGTGAGTCTTCTCACCATGTTCATGGGTTGAAGGCACCAATGTTGGACCATTTCTTATTACGTAAAATATTGCTGACTTTTGAGATAATAGTATGGAAGACCATGGGGTTATCCCATGACACTTGAGTGTAAGACCAGGATTTGGTCGTCGACATTGGAAGGACAGACCATGTGGGTAGCCCATGACAAAGATATGAAGACTAGGATCTGGCCCTCGACATTGTGTGTAAAGACTATAGGGTTAGCTCATGGCACTTGCATTTTTTCTTGTTAGTATGTGATGCAACTAGGAAACTCACTAAGCCTTTTCTTATAGTTGTTTAATTATGGTTTCAGGTACTTTTGGTACTAAGGGGAAAGGCCCGACTTGATGGCACAATATTCATTCTTCACTAGTTTTCCATAATTTGACATGTTACTGTTGGGTCAAAAATATGGTTTATACTTTGGTTTTCTGGGGAATTATATTTTTCTGTATTATTTATGGAGTTTACGGTCATGTTTACGGTTGAGTTTACGGCCGTAAACTGATTTACAGCCCATTTGTTTCCAACCCATGTTCCCTTAGTATAAATATAAGTATTAGGGTGTGAGGAATGATTGAAAAAACCCAAGAGATTGTACGGCCAGAGAGAATAAGGAGTGTATGTGTGTGTGAATCTTTTGTATCCGGATCTTCATTCATATCAATACATACAAAGATTCATATTATTCTTCTTCTCCTTCTCTTCTATTTGATCTGACATCATCCGTTTGATCGGGATTTCGCACCATCAAACGGATCTGATTGATACACGGGCAAATTAGGGACTTACAATTGGTATCAGAGCCAAGTTGTATTAGTCAATTTTGTCAGATTTGGGGAATTATTTGATCTTATTTTCAAAATATTCTTCTGTTTTTGGATAGATCTCTGAAAAATAAGGGGGGTTTGTTCTTCGTATTTTTCATAAAAAAGGGTTTTTGATCGAGTTTTGGAGCAAAAAAGGGCAAAAAACGGTGTTTTTAGTCGTAACCAGCGAGGGGGTGGCGGCAGCAGCTAGGGTTTCCGAGGAGCTTACGGTCGGCATCGGAGTATATGGTCGGGAGCTCGCGGCCCGAGGTTTGCGGCCTCGGCTTCGGTGGTTTACGGCCTTGCACCTCGGTCCTCGATTCGCGGCCAGAAGGAGTTCCGGGTTTCGAACACTGAACCTCCAAGTTAAAAGTCTGTGCGTTATCCAACTCGCCTAACAGCTTCCATGTGTTTTCCCTTCGAAATTTAAGCTATAAACCGCTCTAAATTCAATTCCTTTTAGTTCTAAATTTTACACTTTCAGCCCAAAATTCAATTCCTTTTAGTTCTAATTTTTTTTTCATCCAAAATAATAAAAATAATAACAATAAATAAATAAATATTAATTAAATTAAAACTAATAAATAAAATTATATTTTAATTGTTTTTAATTTTTTTCTTTTATTTTTTTTAACTTTTGACCTTAAATTTTGACTTTGACTTCCAAGTTTGATTTTTGACTTTAAACTTTG